GGGTTATAATGACTGGATCAAATTATTGTGGGGGTCATAACCTAATCCCCCTACAAATTACGCCTATGCTTGTACAGTAATTTTATTTTATTCTATTTTTTTATTTTTACTGTTATTTTAATTCTACTATTATTGCTACTGGTGAAACTGTCTCATAGCAATACTGTATATTGTTTTTGTGGATTGATGTGTCTGCTGCTGCTGTTATACCTGAATTCCCCTCTGCGGGACAATAAAGGCTGTTTCTATTCTATTCTATTCTATTCTATTCTATTCTATTCTATTCTATTTGGAAACATTTCAGCATTATTAATACTTCGAACATTTCATAATCAAATAATTTAATCAAGTAATCCTGTTTTGGTTTTCTTTGGACAAAACCTTGACTATTGTAAAACACCTTATTAATCAACAGCTGATTAAGTGTCTGAGTGTGACCTCAGGGTGTGCAACGCACAAACTGTAAGGAAAAAAATTCAGACAGTTCTGAGAGGAGACCCCAGGTCCAGGGGTTGCTGAAAAACACATAACAAATAACTCCAGTTCTGTATCAAAACTTTTTATTTTTATCAAAATACAAATCATAAAAAACTAAACTTTGTGCAGGATGTGCCCCAGGACCGAGTCACAATAAATAATCACGCTTTATAACAAACACAGGCTCAGAAAAACACTGGTAAAAAAAAAGCTGCACTGGTGGTGGTTCACTTACAGGTCAAAGGTCAAGAAAGAGTGTTTTAAAGGGATATTCACAAAAATAAAATTAAACTAGGTCCTCTGGACGAGTTCTTCTTTACATGTGAATAAAGAATTGATTGTAAACCTGTTTGTCCACCGTGTGGAGGCACTGCTTGGAAGGCTGAAACTCCTCAGACTGAAGAAGTCTCATGAAGAAGAGACAAAACGTTTCATTAAAAAAACATGATGATTTTTTTTTTCTACCTGGATTTCTTAGATGCATCACAACATTAAAAAATATGTATTTTTATTAACAGTTTGACCTGAGAAATTTGTCCAATTTTAGCTAAAAATGCAAGAAAATCACCGAATGTATCTCATAAAATGATGGCTAAAAAGATTTTAAAAGTCTGTGGGAATGTTTCTCTCATTTTTACAGTCAACTTTTATATTTTATGTACAATGTGCATATTTAAAAATAAACAAAGATGATATTTTGCGTTTTATTTTTAAGGTTAGGAATTCAAACTCAAACTCAGATGTTAAAATTCTATCCCTGTGAGACCATAAAATTCAGTTGTCATCCCTGTAAAATGTTTTTTATTCATTTAGTAAAAAAATCTTTCCTGACATGCCCTCTCTGCACTGTAAGGAGGCGACATCTACGTAGATGACATCAACAGGAAGTGCTCTAAAGTCTGGACGGTCTCATTCTCTCTGAGGTTCTTACAGCAGGCTGCAAGCCTCGGAGCGGGGCCCTCTGGCTCCAGATGACTTGGAGGTCCCAGCAGCAGGAGACAGGGCTTCTCTCAGGACAGTGTTGTCCGTCTGCTTGGGTCGAGACGAGGACAATCGTCTGAAGATGGACAGCTGTGGACAGAGATTTAGATTTGTCTGGACTTTATTGAACAGGGCGTTGTGTGGAAGTGTTGGTTTTGCTCCGATTGTTTTTGGCTCCTCTGCAGTCGCTGTGAGCTATAATGTGCCGTCAGTCACAGAACAACAGTCACAGCAGAGTTATGTCACGCTGCAGACATCTAATTAAATAGTTAAATCATTTAGATGATCATTAGAAGGAAAGTAAGAAGTGTAACAAACAGAACTGCATTAAAACATCACCTTCAAAGTTGCTTTACCTTCTTGTTGGAGGCTGTTTGGTTGTTGGCGTCTCCCTCCCGGTTGCCTGGTTTCATGTCGCTTTTGACCGTTTTTTCCCCAGCTGTGTCGTTCTGCTCAGCCGTCTCTGCTGCAGTTAAAATCAGACATGAAACTTCTGTTAGTCCAGGTTTTCGAAAGAAATAAAATCTAAATACAGCGGGTAAAATAAGTATTGAACACGTCACCATTTTTCTCAGTAAATATATTACTAGAGCTGCTAATGACATGAA